GTGTCCTCTGTCTAAACAAATAAGATAACAATGTCTTTTTCACAACACAAGGACATATTATAGATAATTTAAAATTTAAATGCTTTAGAGTCATCTTGGAGGGAAATCAGTGCACACCAGCAAGAAAGCAAAGGAGCTGATGAATCAAACTATCAATTCTGACACCCGCTTACAGAACAGAGGGCAAAGTCAAATTTACTTCCAGAGGAGGAAGATGGAAGAATTTTGTTGTTAGCTAAAATAAATTCCTACATTGATGATTTTGATTTAATTTTTTTATTATCTTCCATTCCTATGTTTAAGTGACTGTAAAAGCCATATGAGAGCACAACAGAAACAAAGCCTGAGTGGCAGGAACGTTGTAAGCAATTTTTTCATGTCTTGAAACACCTGGAGTACACAAAGTCTGAAACTGAAAGAGTAAAATTCACAGATTTTCTATCGCGTTCCTAGCACCACTTACAGCCTTTAAATATCCCACTATCCATTATCAGCACATTATTCTATGTATTTTATAGCACAGACTGGTGATGTTCTGCTGATGTTAGCAATTTCGTGGACGGCAATTTATTAGATGCTGTTAGCGTTAACAATACTGAACCAAAAACCCCAAGAGGTGCTCACTGCTGTAATGGGTGCTGCTCTTGGTAGGTGTCATGCATTTATAGCACCAGTGTGATGACCTACATGAGTGAATGCGATTATCTCTGAAGTGGAAAACCTGTCCAGAAGCAGGTAAGAGGAGTCGGAAATACTGACAGATAACCTCAGAGTTATTAAGTCAAATTAACAGCAGGAAAATTCAACCAGGGTTGTAAAACACAAGGATACCAACTCAAACTCTGGTTTATACAGTCCTAAGCTGCCTGCCACTGGAACACAGGAGAGTACAGAGCATCACACCCCTATGTGTGCTCTGAACATCTGCTATTGGTCAGTATCACTGAGCTGTCCTATGCTATTTGGCACAACTGCACTATGTAAAACAAACAAAAAAAAAAAAGGCAGAGAAAAGCTTGAGACAGCTCTTCTAGTGGTACACAGCAGAAGGCATCATTATTACGACACTGTCAACAATTCCTTCAAAACACACATATGCACCTTCTTCACAATGATCATTTCAGCTTCAGCTCAGAGTCCCCTCCAATTACTCCTCTATCTTTACTTTAAAAGTAAAGCATACAGAACAAAGGTTCTCTGCAATTGGAAAAGCTCTTCTGAAAATCACTCACCAGCCTGGCTGTTGCATTTCGGCCTCCAGACGCCAACACTCTGATGAACTTCATAGCAGTGGCACAAGCAACTCCATGGAGACTGGTGAGTAAACACCCCGGTTCAGCCACTTGGGGATCCCATTGAGTAGGGAGAAATTCCCTGACAATGGTCTCAATCAACCGAGGACAGTCAAGCAGCTGCAGAGAAACAGCAGTCAGCACAAATAACCAAAGGTATGCAATTACACAGACATGCAGAAGACGGGCAAAACACACAAGTTTGTCTTATCTCCTTGCCATAACTTTACCTGCTTCTGTCTTCCCCTTTTTCAAACCTTTCTCTACCATTCCTGAGCTCCTGTAGAATGGGAGATTTACCTGGCTGCATGCTTCGGAGGAGTGCCTTGCTATGTGGGTGAGGATGTGCAGTATATCCAGGACTACTGTTGGAACAGGTCGTACCACCTCCAGGATGTACCTCAGCCGGTGCTGGATCCGTGTCTTCAAAAGTCCCTGGAATAAAAAAAAAAATCCATTATGCTCTTAACAATTGCTCTCTGAACTGGAAGACAAAAGCAGATTCAATTACAACTTCTGCAGAGTGACAGTTTTAAAACTACCAGTGGGGAAACAAAGAAGTCAGTTTCTGCAGATTTACCAGTACAGTAGCAAATAAGCAAGAGTTAGCTCAAGAGAGCAGGAAAAACTGAACTTCTGCTCCAAATTGGACAACTGGTGGGGGTTGGATACTTGTGTTTTCCTGAATATGAAACTGTAAGTAACAGGGAATAGAAAAATAACCTTCCTTATAAAGGATTACTAAAACCTAATGTGGCTGAAAAGGGTTCTCATGCTCCTTGAATCACTTTGGCTAGACACCACCTCCAGCTAACGCAGCACTCCACCTGATAGTACCTGTTATGTCAGTGAAAACTGATAGAATCAGAGAACAGACACAAATTCCTGTTTTGCAGTAGGAAAAGAAAGATGCAGAGAGATTATGTGATTTTTATTTTACGGTTCACAGAGCGGATCATAATCAGTGGCAGTGCCAGCAAACAAATCTTCAGTTTAACTGACAGCGTTATTTATTCCTAGTTCTGGGAAAAGGCAACTCCACGACACCCGAGTTCATAGTACCAATACTTTTATAAAGTTGCAGACAAGCAAGGTTGTAGTTCTAGGCCTGACTGAGTTCCGCTGCTAGTTTAAAAACTCCTTTTCCAACTGTGTGGAGTAATTGGGTTGTAATAGACAATAAGCAGATGTGAAATAGAATTTCACAAGAACTAGAACAGTGGAGAATTTTATCCCAAATATCTTCTGAGTTTGGGCCACTTGGAACATGTTAAAATCCATTATGCTGAACCATGCAACCGTTTCCAGAATTACAAACTGATCTCATGTCTTCCCTCTACAACTGTTTTGTTAAGCTTTTTAAACAGTGTCACCTAGTAGACTACATCTGAAATCATGAAGCCTCTAAACAAGACCAGATGCCCAAGTGCAGTAATTCATTTGCCCGGTGAAGCTTTTAACCAAGTGCCGTTCGAACACAGGCTCAAGCACATGGCCTAAGTGATGTGATCACAAGTTCTAAGGACTGCAGCAGGCAAGAGAGTTGCCTCAGCTCCACCAAGATCGAGTTCGAGATGATAAAAATTGCTATTTTTAGATCTCATATTAGGAATACGGAGGAACTCCTTCCAAATGTTGTAACTCTTTATCTGAGAAATGCAAACATGAAGAATGACATTGGGGAAATGATAAGTAGCCACCTTATGTCAAATACAAAAAGAGAATGTCACGGTACAAATCTAACAAGTTCTGAACTATCTAGCTGTAACGCTCATGTTTAACTTTACAAAAGTGCATATGGACACTTTAATAATGGCTTGAATCTTCACTTTTAGCTCAAGTAAGCGAGCTTGAAAATCATGTCCCTATGCAGTCTTTCAGCAAGTCTTACAAATCAGTGTGCTCATTGCCAGTTTCCCTAGAGGAAGCTAAGAGATAAGTAATGATAGTGAAATCATGCAGATCAAGTCTCAATATTTTTAGAGGTCAATAGAATTACCCTCCTGCTAACATATGACAGAAACACACGGCCACGGAAGAGTTCGATTTCTTCAGAATATTGTTAATAGCATACACAGGAAGGTAGATGCCTCAACAGCACACAGCTACTGTGCAGAGCCTATTTTCCTAAAAAGCCTTCAGGTCTAGCTCTGTGTTTACCTTTACAACATCATATCGGGCCACATCTGGATCTGGCTTATTTACATCCTTTAATTTTTTATCTTGAGGCTTCTCTGTTCCATTTAATTCTTCCTCTTCACCCTCCTCTTCCTCCTCATTGCTGGGGACAAAGGGGAATGCAGCCATCCCTTGGTACCATGAGAAAGTCCAATCAAGGTATTTCTATAAGGAAAGTTAAAAGCACATAAAATAAAATTCTCAAAAAGAAATCACGGAAGACAAACATTTTTCAAGGATGCTTTTGATTATAGAATGCTTTGTTGATTCCCACCTAATCCCAGGAAAACAGGAACACAATAAAGGCTATTCTAAACATGTACAGGCAGAATGCAATGCTTTTGCAGGGAAATGATTTTTAACCTATGACACACACACACTTGGGAAACCAGGAAAAGAAATTACTGTGAGGTGACTTAAATTCACGACACAGGTAACAGAAATGCAGCTTAACTGGAAAATGTTTAAGATAAAAATAAACAAACAAACCACCAAGGATCTAGAAGTTAAACTGGAATTTGGCATTTATTGGCTCTACTCCCATTTCTGGACCTGTGTGGAACTTAAGTCACAAACAATACAGAATGGTCATGTAAAAATTGCTATGTTAAAATAAAGACTGACTGGTGTATTTGTTCATGCTTGTTTGGCTTTTGTTTGAACAGCCTTCAGCTTCAGCAAATAAAAAAAACCAATCTTTTTTGTTCACAGCTAATGACAGCATCAGACATCCTCAAGTTCTAGGGCAATAGGGCAATAAGTGAGCTTTCAACTCTTCAGAGAGGAGATTGCTCCCATAGCAGACCTACTTTCCCCAGAATATGAAAGACAGTCAAATCAAATGCTTGCACTACTTAGAAATTGCTTTAAATTTCCATTTTCTGAACTGGCAATCAGAACTACCTACCACATTAGTCAGAAAAAAAGTGGTGGATTCCAACTAAACCCTGAGGTGTTTTGAAAAATTTCAAATGCAAGGAAACACAAGTTATTCTCAAACATTTAAAAAAAAAAAAAGCGATATTAAACAAAGTTGGTGAGTGAATGAATGATATGGTGAGAAGAGGTCTGACTTTAGAGGATGAAGCTATGAGCCCATCTGGAATACACAGCCTGGGACTACAGTCCTCCTTCCACCAAGAGGCGGAAAAGCACAAGACAGTATCTGGGTCTTGGAAGGAAACAAAGTGCAAGGTGCTTTCCTTCCCATAGCCATTGATGAACTAACAGAACCTTCAGAAAGCATGACTTTTATGCGTGTTGATCTTTGGTGTTTACAGTGGGGATGAATCCTGTTTGTCTTACAAATCCTGGAGCAAAAGTCCATACTTTCAGCTCTGTCCCTTCCTCAGAGACCTTCTAAAACTCATCAGCATGAGACTCTAGGAAAGACTCTCCAAATGAAAGAACATACCGACAAGCACTCACAGCACTGCTTTTGGCATTGAGAGGGTCAGCAAATCCCTGCTTACACAAGACATCACACCACAAGCTTTCATCTAAGAATCAGAGCACTGGATTAAGTTATAAACCAAGGTAGTACCAGAAGAAAAAAGCAGCTTAAGAAGCTGATTCATAGCATTAATTACCTACCATGGGTGGGCAGGACTCCTCTAGCAGAACACTATTAGGCTCATAGCTTAGAAAAGGAGCAAGATGTGGAGAAAGCTACTAGTCTTCATTTCTCTTGCCTCCCTACAAGGAATAGCTCTAAAGGCCTAGGAGAAATTGCAGGGGGCTTCTTGAGATCTACCCACTCTTCTCTATCACCGGCCCATTTGCAGTCTGACACAGTAGCAACTCTCATGGAAGGAACTTGAAACACAGCCCACAGCACGCTTTGCCATAACGGACTGCTGCTGTCCAACCAGGAAGACATCTTAATCTTGCTGTTCAGGGGTCTCTAGTACCTCTGAATAGCCAAAAGAAGTTTCAACCTTCTAACAGGAGAAAAAGCATCAAGGACAAAATACAACACATGAGAAGGTGAAAATAGGTATTTGTCAGTGTAAGAAAAGCACATGAGAACAGCAGAAAATGGACAATGAGAGAAAAAGAGAACAGCATCACTGTGAGGCACAAGAGAAAGCAGCGAGAATATTTAGCCTGTTCAGAAGCAGGAAAACTATAAAACAAGTAGCCAACAACATAAGAGGTCATATAAAAAAACTGAATTGTACATACACATTAGTAGTGGCGTGACCTATATTGTAAAACATGTCAAAAGGAAGAGAAACTTAGCAGCCTGCACTGAATTAATCACGGAGCAGAGCTAATTCAAACAGGAGAAAAGATGTCTGAATCTCTCAAACTAAGATAACACACTCCCTTGTCTGCCCCAAAGCATAGCAATGGACAATTAAGCTAACCCATCCAGCAAGTCTTTGTTCAAGCTACTTACCACATCTTCTCATTCTGATTTCCATAAACAGCTCAGCATGAAATTAAACCCAGGCATTTAATGATTGTCTCACCTCATCATCAAGTGACACCAGCAGAGCCCGGAGAGCACCAACAGATGCTGCCATGACATTATCCACTGTATCATCCAGCGAGAAGCGCAGCAAGAAGAGAAACCCAGCATCAAGCAGCAGACACAGAATGCTGCCCTTCAAGGAGGAAGTAAACTCTCCAGCCCTGGCCTGAAATATATGCCACACAGAGCCAGTGTTAAACCTGTCTCATCTTGACTGGCTACATCTCAACACTCTGCATGTTTGTCTCTTCCCATTCCTACAGTAAAGCAGCTGAACTGTGTACAGGTTGTTTGTTTGTTTTTTTCCCTTATTTTCTCCTCCTCTCATTCTACAGACACAAGCAACTCCAGTCCCTTAATTCAGGAAACCTTTCTTTCTGAAGTCTGGACCCATCTTCTGACTTCACCCTGTTCTGCCCCATCATTCTTCTCGAAACCACAGCATTTCTTCTCTGTCTCCACTGCCATTGGAAGGAAGGTTAGCACTTCCCCTAAGAGTTGGGTGGAAATGTGCACGGGCGTAAATATTCATTCTGCTTCATGCTATTGGCATATCGCTCTATGAGTAGGCTGATTCATTCTCACCTCCTACAGAAAAAGCACATCATGAAGCTGGCTCAGAAGACAGGAGTGAAAGGGCCACTGCCAAGGATAGGCGTGTCACAAAAGTAACACCATAAAAAACCACTTGTGTCTAAAGCAATAACAGAACTGAAGTTGCAGCACTGCTGCTGAACAACACTTGGAAGCACCTCGCTTCGGAGAAACCTGAAACGCAGTTTGTTATGTTCCGACACTTAACTTTTCTAACGGTAAGGAGATCCTCAGTGAAAAAGAATGCCCTGCTGGTGATTTTTCTCACCTTCATTGAATAGTAGAAAGCAAACAACTAGTACCAGAGAATCTGGACCCTGATCCACCAGAAACTTGAATTACAGGGAGGAATTCCATAGAAAGTGACTCACCTTTTGAACAATACGACCCAAGACCTGTAGAGCCAGTGTCCTCTGTTGAATAACTTGGCTGCGAGACAAATGAAAGAGCTCTTGGAGAGAATAACCAGCCCTCTAATGGGGGGGGGGGGGGAAAACAAACAATCAACACAAAAAACAAACAACCAACCAAACAACACAAAAACCCCTGCCCTCAGCTATAGTTTTAAAAAGGCACCTTTTTTTAAGATTAACTGTAAATACTGCATTACGGGAGCTAAACTGCAATGCAATGTCATTTGCTCTTTGTGGCAGTTGCAAAAGAGAGTCTAATCATTGATGCAGCAGAAGAAACTGAACTTCTTAACAAAAGCATGTATGTGTAGTTTTTTCCAACAGCACAGATCCTTAAAGGCATTAAAGAGAAAAAGCATTAATGGAGTTTTCTGAAAGTACAGCAGTTAACACATGACCCAACTTCTCCTCGGGAGCTTGTTTCAAAAAAATGACCCACCTACACTTTCCTAAGGTTTTTGTCACTAAAAAGCCTTGAAACAAAATGAATTTGCCAAATCCACCACAGAAAACAGAACTGGGTGTGACCTTTTACTATATTACACCTACCTCTGCCTCTTCTCCATGGTGATGAAGGCCTAGATGTGTCGGTAAATCAGCATCTGCAGGAATCAATTCTCCTTTTAAACTGAATCGAGCTTGCATTCCCTACAACAAAAGGGTGGAGGGAGAAAAATATTAATTTTTATTGCCTTCCACTCCATTCATCACTTAAAATACCACTTCTTACATCATCTGATGGAAAGTGACAGTTCAAAAAACTCCCCAGGTCAGGCCTCGAATTCTTAAAAATATTTACTCCCCTCTTTCCTTTTTTGTTAGCTTTCAGACCCGTTTCATCCCAGATTACAGCTGACAGACTCTCACCTCCTAGCTCTGTTGAGCACTACCAACTGAATTGACCACGTTATCATCCCACCCTGTGGAAGAAACCGGGGAATCTCTCGGCCTGGTGAAATCTTACAAGTGAGTAACCAGAGGACTAGTTTTTGAAGCCTTCAAAACAGTTACCACACACATACTGAGAAGCATGATCCAGACACAAACATGAAAAATACCGGTTTCTGCTTTCAAACCTTTCTGGTTTTCTTCTGCCGGGGTGAGGGCAAATCTTTCGTCCATTCCAGCTTCTCAAACTCCACATTGTCCATGTGAATCCATTCCTTCTTAGGCTTCACAGGCAGATCATCATCTTTGCAGGGGATGGGGGGGGGAAATGTCAGTCTTACCTTCCAAGGCAGAGAGGAAGACAATACTATTCCCCCCTTACCAACCTACTTGGCTTAAAGACTGCATCAAATACACGATTCATGTAAAATAAGAAGAAAACAATTTTCAAACTGACTGTTGGCTGATGCATAAACATCAAAGATTTAAAGCTGTTTTTATCTTTCATGAGAGCTAGAAGAGGAAGTAAACAGCACTGTAATGAAATTCACAAACAAGGCCAATTTGGGAGAAGTTGAACAGAAGTCACGACACAAATAAGGCAAAGTGATCAGAACCAGAGCAGAAAAATAATATCAGCCCTACTTTTGAGAAAGCAAACTAATACCATCTGGGGGGGTGGTGCTAGGGGAGATGTGAAATGATTCATAAGTATTAATACGGAGAGGTCCAGGCAAATTATTGGAAGCCAGTGTGATTTCAGCCTAGATACACTGGAGAGAGCACAAACACTACTATCTGTGCTTTTGCCGCATTTGTGGTGCTGCTCTTCATTCTGTGTCCCCCTCTAAAGACTTAAGGAGATCTGCTTGGGAAGAAAAAAACAAAACAGCTGAAAATTCACACAGCTTGCCTGAGAAACAGCTCAGTGGGGAAACTGGACAGCTGAACGAGAATTTCAAAGGCGCAGGTACTAAAGAAAGAAATGACTGATGTAACTTTATAAAGAGCTTTGACTACAAGAATTTGAGAAACAAGACATTTATGACTGACATCACAAGAGTTGCCTTAGGAAAGAGACAGATCAGCTTCTGGAAGAACCTCACAAGTGAAGGGACAGGAGAGATGTAACTTTAAATGATCTGAACACTACAAAAGGTAATGTTTTGCTACTAGGATAACATCCCATACCAGCATGGGAAAAGATGAGCTATGAAGTCATTGCTATCTCAAGAGAAATCACAGATAAGGACAGGAATAGGCAAGTCTGAGGGAATGCAAAGCAGCAGCACCACTCCTGCTGAGGCAGCCCAGCACTCATTTGCATTGCAGCTATTAATCCTAGTGCTCTGTTTTTCTCTTGCAAGGAACAATGAGTCCCACTGAGATGCTCTTCTTTCATCAGATCTTTAAAACTGGCCTGAAATCTAACCTTTTACTTTCCTCCAATTAGTAGATAAACTTTCAGGAAGGGCATTCATCCTTTCTAGGATGAAGCTTCACCCTTATGTGATCAATGCGGTATCGAGTCAGGCAAGGAACCAAGCACAGAGTTATCTTCCTCAGCCAGAAAGCTGTTCTGCAGAATTTCAGCAAAAGGCTCAGCACACATTTTAATAGAAGAGAAGGAAAAAGCATCCAAAATGTAAGAAAGTGGAACATTTGTGGGTAGTAGGTGCAAAACTAGAGGAAATAAAATCAGCAGAAAACCGAAATCTATTGACATTTGTAATTAAATTGTTTTCTCCATTATTTACTAAATTGATAGGGTTGATTTAATCATCCTATGAACCGGATTACACATATTACCACCAGCCCTTAATATTATGATCTTGTCAACAAGACAAGACTGATATATGTTCTAAGGCATCAGCAGATTGATCAGTTACTGAGAAATCCCTTTACAGCAACACAAGCTGGCGATATGAACGCAACATTTGCACTGAACTTTTTCAGACTTGGGTTATACTAAAGGCTACCACTCAACCTCTTCCCTTTCTGCTTCGCTTCCCCTTTCGTCTCAGTGCCAGAATTTACTTTTCCATTTGATAAGATTACAAGTTGCTGGATAAAGTCTTCACCATCTTGTTTATTAGAAACAGTTCCCTTTTATCTCATTATAGAGACAGGATTGACTTTTGAGCAATCCCATTGCTTTGTGTCATCATCCTTTCCCTGGGGAAATTCAGAACAAGCATTTCTGCTGGGCTACTCATGATGAGTTTACTTCTGAGCACAATCAGATGCAAAATCCCAACACTAAGTGCTAATGTCAAATTAGTATTTTACATCTCCTGTTGGCCAAGATGGGCTGCAGGCATAAACTCAGGTGCTGGAAAGGCTTCCCTTGGTTTCATAACTGTGCTCCAGCTCATCCTCTCTTTGTTATTTCAAGTATCTTGGGAAAACTCCTCTTCTCCTTTCCTGTGCAGTCTTCCATGGGAAGCAAAAGCTGTCAGCACACAACGCTCTGAACACTGAGCTATTCCCAAGAGCACTACTACAACGTTGCTCAGCCTTTACAGGCTGAACAACCTGCTTCTATTGCTCCCAGGGGAGTAAAAGAACATCACTTAACCTGGGGCTACTTGTGCACTCGATTGTTCTGGAACTACAAAGAACTAAAAATAGTCTTTTTGATTAAGACAGATTTGGGGAGAAACAGCGGAAGTACTGTTCAGTGAAGTGTTTTCCTCAATAAGAGTTAATCAGCTTTCCTTCTCCTGCACGTGTACACACACATACACTCACAGACTCATCCATCTCATCAAGAAAATGGTAAACAGTTGTTATCTCTCACAAACACCAAGCTGAAATCCAGGAGCGATTCAGAGACCTCTTTAATCAGTCTGCACGTTGCACTGGGATACAAAGAATGCATCAGAAGAGAGGATCAAGAGGTAGGCAGGCAAAAATTGGCATGAAATTGGGGGAGAAGCATGCTAACGAGGGAGAAAGACGGGTGACAAAAGTGTGAGGAAGATAAGAATGGAGCCTAAAATCACAACAGAAAAAAAATGGCTAAAGGAAAAACAGCAGTGAGGAAGGCAACAATAAAAGCAGAAGATTAATGGGAAAACCCTTCTTTTCTCTGCCATGAGAATATATGGGTTGCTCTAGCTGCTGAGGATAAAGCAGCTTTCTCCTCATACGGGCATATATCGAGTATTAAAGAGCTCTGTCGTAACAGGCAACAGCTCTGTACAATTCTTCCAAAAAAGCAAAACAACACTCTACACCTTAATACTTCCCTCCATCCACAGCACGAAGAAAAAAACCTGTAGCTTGTGGAAATCACCACATGGGCTCTGAGATACAAGCCACAGAGCTGGGCCACCAGGAGCAGTGTCATGACAAAATATGTATGCGCTATACAAGCAATTTCCCCGAAGCAAGACTGACTGTCATCTCCATGCTATCCTGTGAGCAAATCACTAGCTCTTACCTACCCAACATCCTCTTGTCCCCAACCGGTCCCAGTTAAAAGAATTTATTCAAGCAGCAGCTGAATCCCACTTTCACACTCTTCTGCTTCCCCATTCACACAACTGAACAGAAGAGCAATGGTGCGTAGTTTAAAACACATTTTCCTTTCTGAAACTTCAGAACAAATTTCAAAAACAAAGCAAGACCTCCCACTGAATAGCTCACCTCCGCTACACAGTGTATCACCCTTCTAATCTACGGAGTCCAACTAGAAATAACAGAGATGTTCTTTCTTGAATCCAAAATATATATCTTTTAAATATCATGACAAAATTCAGGGTTGGATAACTAACAAAGTGCCACACCAATCCAATCTGAATTGATGCAAACACCATACAAACCTTACATTTATGTTCAGAACATTAACAACATGCACTTTGTTTCTTACCTGTGATTTCCACCTTCATACTTTCTTCCTTCCTTACAGATTCTTCCAGACCCGGCTCCTGCACGGAAAGACACGATCCTACACCATGCTGAGCCACAGGCAGAGATTCCACAAACTCCTCCAGTCTGTTCTGTTCCATTTTAAATTCCTTTTTCTGGCCTTCATTGCCACCACGTCGTGACTTTAAGAAAGCAACTAAACTGGAATCTGCAAGTATTGACAAAGAGACAGACAGAGAAGTGACAGAAAGTCTCAAAATACTTGATATGCCTATAGCTCCTGCTATTTATGTTTTAGTCTTTTCATTCCCATCCCACATGCCCTCTTCTTCTGTACCAACTGTCACTTATTTTCAAACTGAGGCACTTAACTGCTTTATGACCTCTTGAGCACATAAGCTGGGTATAACTGACCGGCGAGGTGACACCAGAGAAAGAGCTGATAAATGTCTTTCAAGGTAAAGCAACCACAAAAACTCTAGTTATTCTCCCAGCTTACAAATAAGGAGATAATTGTTTCTTTCCCCCTCACTGCCACTGAAAAGGCACATCCAAACGAGACTATTTATTGTGGAGAGAATTCTGGTCTGTGGTTTATGGCAGGAACACAGGTCTGACAGTTTGCCTCCCCTGCCTGTGGACCGCTCAGTGGCATCAGTATGAACGCTACGAGAATACATGGAACAGACACCGCAAAAAGAATTACCTGTGCTTTATTGAATTGCACCAGAGCTGCAGTGCATGGTCTAGATATTATGTTAGAAGATCTTGTTTGCTCTGAACTGACTCCCCATCCCGAGAGTCAATTATGGTCTGACAACATCCAGAGAACAGACACACAAACATGGCCGTTCTCTTCATGCTTTGGAGGTGAAGAGGAACATTTTGGAGGTAAGGGTATTTTGAAGGACAGATAATATTCCTATGGCTCTAAACAGGAAAATGTCAGAAGACCATCATTTTACTCTGATCTGCTACAGCTATCCCACATCACTTTTGATAGAGCACTTTCTCTCTGAACACTCTTCATCTATAAGATGGTATTGGGATGCTCATGCCAGAGGTGAACAGCCTGTGCATTGTGCTTCTAAAAGGTACAGCGATACTTCACTAAGCAGTGTCAGAGAGGTATAAAGTATCAGAGTATAGCACCTGCATTGGTTATTTATTCTTTGGAGGACAAAGGACAAGCAATTCAGAAATGCTCTATACTTGAAAGAAGTCATCCCAAAAAGGAAACAACTCGCATGTCTCTGAAACAGTTCAAAGAGGACGCAGCGATCTATCCCACACTTGTGATTGCTGCACACTCTTAAGTTTCAATGTCTCTTGGCAAAGGAGAGGCACTCAGCCCAGTCTCATTAAAGCATGCATAGTTTTTCCTGAGTGCAAGCAGATCTCTCACTTTCTCCCACTTCACTGTATGCAACAAGGAAAAGACTGTATTCATTACTTCATCATTTCACACAAACAGCGACAAACTAGTCCCTGATTATGTCAATCTGAGCACAGTATGTCAGAAAGTAAGCCTACTTCTGCCCAGAGACTCCAAGGGCAAAACCAGAACAGTGTCAACAATAAGCGCCTGAAGACACTGCCCAGCGTGGAACTGCCTACCCATCCTCATACTCCACACTATGGAGCCTCATCTGCTTCATAACTAAGAGGTTAATTCAGAGACTGGACAGCATTAAACACCCACAAATTATTCACACTCCTGAATATGGAGAAAAAGCCTCTTTAATCCACATCTCTGTGCCTGTCCAGCTCCCAGGCTCTGTAAGCCAGAAATTTAGTTTAGGAGTTGCTTCATCATGCGTAATTCCCTAACCACAGAAATTTTTGGAATGCCAAAATTACTCCCAGTTTCCTTAAAGCCTTAAAGACTGAAACATCTAAAATTTCAACCCACAGGGCATATAAACAAATACATTGCTCTAAAAAATATTGTTCAAAAATACTTAAAATACATCCTAACCTTTCTAAACTCCCTAATAGTCACTTCACTAATATCCCAAAGGATGGAGTGGTGGAGACAAGGAGCGAGGATCACAAATCAGTGCATAAACAGGATATTTTTCATATATGTGCCATTGTTATAAGCAGTGAAGTCAAAAAAATACTTTTTTTTTTTTTTTTTTTCCATTTTAGGTACTTTAGATAGAGCTCAGCTCTCCAAATGAAGGATGTACCTAAACATTCTGCCTGCAGTTATTTTGCACAGTTCCTTTGCTACCTTTCCACTTATACCCATGCTGCTTGCAATGAAGTCAAGATCATTAATATAATCTTTAAACTACACCCACAAGAGACCTATGCATCTAATATGCCACTCACCTAAATTTGATGCTAGAGAATCTGAAATTGTAAGAATTTCAAAAACCCTTGTCTGCCACCTACATCCGTACGTCTGCTCTTCTTGAGCATACAAAATCATCAAAACCAATGCCAACAGGTTTTACAGTGCCCTAGATCACACAAAGTCTTATCAAACATACCACACTCAGCGTTCTCCCCCATCTTGTCGCAGCTGTGACTGGCATTCCCAGAGCACCACTGTGGACAGGGCTCCAAACCAGAGACCAGACTCCTGCCAGAATGCCTGGACCCAACAGCCAGATAATTAAAACAATTTTTCAAGAAGTTCAAGAAGCAGTTCTAAGCTTTTCTGCTCTATCAAGCACAGATTTGAACTGAAGTCTCCCACAGGCCCACACGTTTCCTCTATTCGAGTATTGACAGACCTGGCTCAAGTCTCATATACCTTGGAGTGGAAGACCAAGAGCACTATCTCACCTCAGCACTGCTACAGCCACCTAAGAATAGCTTTGCTTTCTTATCTGCTTCAGAGAATCACATTTCAGGACCTCAATACATGTATATGTAACCAGCTATTTGGTGTGCAAAGTAACAGAGTGCATGGCTCATCTTACCCCACAGCAAGGGGGAGACAAGACAGACTTAAGCTAAGCTCCCTCTCACCAAGGAGTAAGTGCTCTTCAATTCCTTCACATCTAATTCTTACTCATAAGCTACTGACATGACATGGAAGCTAGATTATCCACAAACACAATAAGCAGGAATCCCAAGCTCCCATCTTTGATCTGTGAATGTGGTAAGACTTCAGGACACCTACACATTCAGTAAACATCCATTTGTCTGGAATTCGTCCTGGGAAGCACATACCCAGCTGAGCCAGAAGCCTTTCCTGCTCCTGGAGGATCTCTTCCTCAGACATGGACTGCAGCTTCTCCAAGTTCTCTCTGTGAATCGCTTGAGCTTCCTGCTCACTCTTTTGGCTTCCAAGACCCTCTCCCGTTATAAGACAAGGCCGCTGAGAGGTCAAAACGTCACCAGCTTTATCTATAAGATCCAGCAGAGAAAGCAATTAGTGATTTAAATGTCTACAGCATTATGAATACATCTCAATTTTGTCATTACTAGGCACACATTTCTTACCTTTTTTTTTTTTTAACCTTGATAGCCAAGTTAACATAAGAGTAAGTAAGTTTAGTTTAACTTCAAACAAAACTAAAATACTTGGGCTGTCATCCCAAGTCACAACAAAATTTCATTTCCACCTTGTTTCTTCAGGAGTTTGGGAACGGATGGGAGGGAAAGGAATCTTGTTTTTTAATGCAAAGCAACAGCAAGAAAAGGTAAACTGGAGCATAATTCACAATTGATGAGTCAAAGCATTCTTCCAAGTTAGTGAATACTAGATTCTTTCTCTGCCCAAGAACAGCTGACCCATGATCTAGTAAATGCCTGTTGAGTGAGACAGAGAATTAAAATCATTAGGTAAACCAGTTTCCAGCGTGATATAGGATCCATTCTCAACATAGGCATGTTGGCTTCTAACAAGGTCCTGTATTCACCTTTGATGGTTAAAGATACTAGAAGTTCCAGCAGGAGGACATTTTTCCCACCCCGAACAAAATCAAGTCTCCTTTATCACCCAATCTAAATCCTTTTTAAAGGCTCATTTTGTTTAACTCTAGCAGCAGGGTAACACGCTCCTTTGGTCACAGTAAGACCTTCCAGCTGTCCTGTAGTCCATTATACATGGACCTGACTTAGTGGCTTTATTCTTTATGTGTTGCTCATATGCTCCATACAGTGATTTGGAACATCCCTATGACCCTAAACCAGCCAACCCTGAAAGCATCAAACCCCTGTGACATTATGACACTCATCATAACATCAGTAAGTTTTGACATCATTTCTACAGCAGTTGTCTTGCATATTGAGCAGAAGGAGATGAGAAAACAGAGTGACCTGGTAAAAGATTCAGTAAGCTTCCCACCATCAGCAACTAAGCTGAGGGTTAGCAGGCACAAACAAGAAATGGAGCTTTCCGCTTCTTCTCTTGCTCCTAGCAATCCTGCTGCAACAATCTTGCTGAGGACACCAAGCTATTTTCTGATTCCTCTGTTGTGCTACTACATTTTAGAAGCGTTCTACTTCAAGAGGATCACAGCTATAGGGCTGCTCTATTTCCCTTTGAGATTTCTCAGACAGAAGTACACATGCACAACTGTAACAGGATACACAGTAAGCACAGTAGATTGACCTGGATGGTGGATTTGTGCACGCACAGCACATCTGGGGGGTTCACTTACAATTCTCTGACAGAGGTCAGGGCAGACAGAAACTTTAGCCAAATGGCAACAAACCTCAAATGATACCTGGCCTCTATTTCAATGTGAAAAAGAGGGCGTCAGAGAAAAACCTAGACACATGGTGGTCCTAAGCAAATTGGACCACTCAAAAAAAAAAAAAAAAAAAACTGGAGATGCTGGCACCAGTTGAATTGGTTTCATCTTTCCTTGTCACATTGCCGTCAGACAAGCAACTGCTGGAGGTGGCACCGACTCATCAGCGCTGCCTCACAGCATTCCTTATGGAGCAAAGCCACAGTCTGACGGCAGCAGATCTGGTGACGGAAGACTCAGCTTTCAGCTTCTAGGTAGGAGTGAGAACCTGCATCAGTAGCCTCAAACACCTTCATCAGACACAAGAACCACCCTCTTCCTAAAACTGTGGAAATCAATGACGACACAAGAAAAACTTTACATAAAATAAACATAGAGGAAAAGAAGGACAAGAACCTTGAAAAATGAATCTATTTGTCCCTGTGTGAAGCAAAAAGGAAATCAGTGAGAAAGCTAATTCAATTTTTAGAACATTAATTTGGGTCTCAATTTCAAATCCTTGTCAGGCCACAGACATTCCAAGTGACCTTGAGATTCCTAAACCAAGAACAACAGTGCTACCCTAATTCAAAAATAAGGTGCACTGACGCTACGGTTACTAAGGCTATGTAAATATGGTAGGCTGGATAAGCAGAACCTTCTCCACCTACCGTCCCTGATGCCGGAGAGGTGTGTGTCTCCTGCTGATCCCTCAGGATTCAGGGCATCCGGAGCAGCTGATCCTATTTGCACGCACTCGGCAGCAGAGGGAGCCGTTGCTGCCTTTTCAGCAGCTCTTCTCGCTGCCATCTTCTGTGCAAAGATGCTTTTTCTTCCAGATCCCACCTTCACCTGCAAGCAGGGAAGCCATGTGTCACCACTTTCCCCTCCAGACTCCCCCGCACACCTGCCACTAACAAACGTATGGATCTGACTCTAAAGACACCCTCAGATCAGACTTCGGTACGTGACACAGAGAAGCTGCTGGCAGCCACCTGCCCTTTTCCGTGCATGTCCTATTCTTTTTTTAACACACAGTTTAATGCTAGGAAAGAGACAAAGACATGAATGTTTTTGCTACCTAGAGAAGAAAGATGATTAATTATAAGTAAATTCAAGCCAGGCAAGTACACCTAAAAATATCACCAAACACAACAGTTCCAGCTTTCCTGCTGTTTGGAAACTGCACAGCTGAATACTTTGCATTTCTGAGGATAAATGGGGTTGTACTGCACTGTGCTCACCACATGCTTGGAACAGGCTTCTTATAAGGTGATTAGAGAGCAGCAGGGTGAAGAGATTTACGCAGTAAGAAGTAGGCAAATGGTGCTAAAATAATCCTGACTAAATTACTGAGCTGCTTGCCTAAGCAATGGAACGGCAAGGCTCCAAACTGCCTTGCACAGGATGCACAGGAAATCCAAAGCAGACTACGCAAAAAAAAAACCAACCACACCCTCTTGCATGTCCCCAGTCCAGAGCAGAAGCTTAAAAGGCAGTCTGAACATTTGGTAGATGCTTTGTGCACTCCTGTATCAGGTAAACAGAACTGATAGTTTTAAAAGTATTATTCTTTCCTTTCAAAAAAGCTGTCCTTCGAAATAAGCTACACCTTCAAAGCAACCACAGCTATCAATCACGTACCCATTCTGACTCCCACTCAGCTATCAGCTCTTGCTACTACAGCAATGACTGATGATAGCAGCCATAGCTTCCAGTTTTAACAGCCTCAGAAAAAAAATTATTTCAAAATCCAAAAAGCTGCAAAAGATAACGCATGCAACCATAGTCAAATATCATGCCAGGAGATATCAGGTGCAACTTCAGTAAGCACGGACTTAATCAAACATGGTGAACAAATTAACAGATACTGGTCCTCAGAAAAAAACAAACAGAACAGGATCAATTCTATTACAGCAGCGCAGATTTGATCCACCTCACTGAAGTTACCTGAAAGGGATCACCTTTTTCCTAAACCAAAAGGATTCCAACATTATTTAACAGCAGGGTATGGAGTGCCTACTTGATGGTAGCTTGGTACAAGAACTCTCCTACACTAAGGTGGCAATGCCCAGAGATATGGTGAGCTAGCTCATAATCTCCAGCATGCCAAGCCACTTATTTTGAGCCCTACCACCCACCAAGCACTAGGCTTTGTTGTGAGGAAGTTTTAATTGTTAATGAAGGTAGCATAAAACAGCGGCTCCCAATCTTACATCACTTTTTATCTCAGAGCGGTGAAACGTCCTTGGAAACGGGTGCCCTGTGGGCACTGGCATGGTCACTGCTACCGCACTCGTGTCTCGTTCCTGCAGCAAAAAAGAAAAACCCAAACCCTGCAAAAAACATCACAATAGCCAGACAAGTTTATATCACTCGGCTAACAGTGGACTCAAAATCTCTCAGCTCCACAGCTCACAAGCTTTCTGCTACATGACTGTTAGGTTCAAAATACCTTGCGCTTATTTAGAGCCAAAGTGAGGCCATCTTCCAAAAGGCTGGGCTGCCAAATTCCACACACCACTCAAAGAATCAGATAAAGGAAAACCTGGACCAGTGCAGAGCAATGAGAACACCCACCCTACAGAGTCCAGAAACTCACTCAAATCCGCACTGGAGCACGTGTCTGCATGCAAGCAGTGTGACCTGTAGGCAGTCTGGACTGGAGAGCAGATTCAAACACACATTTAACTGACAGTAAAAATTTACCCAAAGAGCTTTTTCTTTCAAGGTGCTCCAGGACACCGGTCTACAGTGCTACAACTGCTTCACTACACTGTAAAAATAAAAAGCAGCAACAGAACCCTTCATCCCTGTCCACTGCTTAGGTCACAGCATTAAAAAAAAACCCTAGACCATCACATATGAAACAGACATACAATAATTCTGCTGAAAACTGCTGTAATGTGTTGATCATGACTGTCCAGTCTTTCCTCTGGATCTTCATCCTCAAAGTGAACACAGGCACTTTTGATCTTGGACTTTTTTGGAGGAGCTGGAGTTAGAGCTGGGAGAATATCAGGAAAATCTGGGGAGGGGAAATAATAAGAAAAAATAGTCGTCAAGTTACTCATATTTAACTACTGTGCAATAGGTACCAGACCAAAGCTCCCTAACAGCACCTATTATTGCTCTGACGAGAAAAAAAAAAGATGAGGAAGCAATAAGACATTAAGATTCCTCTGTCTCTGACTTGCACTGGGTAGCAGAGAGAAACATGCTCAAGAATTTTATTATTTATGTATTGGCACCAAGGCCTTTTGAAAGAGCTGCACAAGCAGGAAAGGGTGCTCAGGCCTGACTGCAAGTATTAATGAAAGCAGCAAGGCTGTACAGAAACAAATAGCGTCCTTGCAGGCTGTGTTCAGGCACATAAAAGCACATTTGCACTGCCAGCTCTAACAGCGAGTGATTTGTATGATTGTGAGCAAGTCAAGGCCTCCTTTTCACTATCTATAAACTATGATCGTATTTCCTTACCTGGAATGAAGCACTGCAAGATTTAAGTTGTTGCTTTTAAGAAAGCACTTTGAGCTTCTGAGACTATTAAGCACAAGACAGAAGTGTTACAGTTACTACTGATGGAGGAAAGCAAAACCGCAGGAAGGAGGCTTATCAGGCCAGATCTGCTGGCTGAAAGCTGGAGCTGTTAGCAGAGCTAAATCTCAAAGACACTGAGGACAGGGTCTGGATAGACGGCAAAATAAGCAGTGAGCCTCCAATAGGTACAAATCACAGAAAACATCTCTTGCACTGCAGCTGGCAAGGTACCACAGAGAGATAAGTGTGGGCAAAGGCAATGTGTTGGAAAGGTAGTTCTACTGGATGCTAGTAATATCAGACAAGTACATTTTCCAGCAAGGCCAAGAACATACAATACTGCAAGGAGGACACACATGCACGGTAAAAGCACCACTGCGTTGAGGGGAAAGTGAAAAGGCAAGCTCTGAGGAACACTGAAAGGGACAGAGAATCCTAGTAATTCACAGAAGCCCACAAGGAAGATTACCATCCAACATGACTACATCCTTGCTGTCCTGCAGCAGGGGTCTCTCAGCATTTGTGTTCCCTTCTTCCCCCTTCCTCTTGTCTGCTTTCTTCACAATCTTCACTGCAGGTGAAGCTCTGGCTGCCAGGAACTGGTTTTGAAAGTGCAGCAGGTCTGCCTCGGACTCCCCAGGCTTTGGTCTCGACAACATCCGGCCTTCTTGCTCTTGCAGCCCGGCACTGCCTGCTGTTCACATGGAACCTACCGAAGACATGGAACACTGGTTACTGAATTTCCTAGGGACAGGATGGGGACAGCAAGGTAAAACTTCTCCTTTTTGTCCCATCCTGATGTTCCTGTACATACTGCAGCCATCCTAGTTCAGGATCACCCCAGGACACAACTAGTTGTACCGAAGTCCCAGACAAACTGTTTACCTTGTTCTTCGTTGCTCAACAACATGCTACTAGACAAGCCAACACCTGGTCTACCAGCCAGCTGGGAGCAGAATGGCATCCATCCAGCAAAAACCCAACAAGTGCATCACTGACAGAATGCCAACAACACACCCTTGGATTTACAAAGCCCCAGAAGCACCTGGGCCAAGACAACAGATTTTACTTACTCCATTATCAACAGCACCCAAGAACATCAGAGGCACAGTATCATGCAAACCTCCCCCCTCCAGCATACAGTCTTCTCAGGGTCCTAGCATTAGCATCCCTGTCAGGATGCAAGAGCCTGTCCACGTTGATTTGGACAATGCACTCACTCACTGACTCTGTTCGTTCTCCTTCTCACCCAAATCTTCCAAGTAAAAGTTTTTTATTCCTTATCTAGTCCTCCTGC